CCATGCAGCACAGCCGACTGGAATGTCGACAAAACGTTTTCTCCATCCGAGTGTCACAGCCCTGGACATCCTCCAGGCGCAGGTAATAACTGACCCACATTATCCCCATACAAAAACACCTTGACACAATTACACTAAACGACATAGCCCATCACCATCAGATGGTGGCATTAGTGCAGAACAAACAGTGGACGGTATCATAACCCTACTAGACCTCAGGCAGGAATACTCGCACATGTGCTACTCCAAACCCCTTGGTGAGTCATGTATCTCACGCGTTCGTTTACTAACACTGTATTTTATTTTGTAATTTTCACCCTGTCTTACGGGACATGTCAAGCATTCGCTTTTAAATCAGCTTGTCAGCGCAGAAATTTCTTTACGATAATTTTCCTCAGGCTTCTCCGGACTAGGCTGTGCTATGTAGCTTGTGAAATACTGGGATGAATACCTTAAAAATACATCCAAAATCCTGCTACTCACGAGTAATATAAAATAGCCTCTCCCAGTTTCAAATGCTATGGATATAGCGTCTAGCGAGAGGACATCATCACCTCGCAGGCTAGCCACTGTCAGTGGAAGATAGGTGATGCTATATCCCAGTTAGCTTGCAAATTATGTAGCTCAGCCAACATCCCTCATGGCCCGGTGGCTTAAGCTGCTAGTTGGCATGTACCTCTAGCAGTCATGAGTTCGATCCCCAGTAGGGGACCGAGGGAATGTGCACCACTGACTAGCCCCAATAGTGCGAAACGCGTCTGGTGCTTTTCCGAGCTAGGCCGTGCTATGTAGCTTGTGAAATACTGGGATGAATGCCTTAAAAATATATAAAAATGGCTTACATTGCGAAGGCTAAGATAGCTTGGCTAGGGTTAGTTTAGCAGTTGATCAAATCTTACAATCGATGAAGATACTAACGGATATGGGGTCACGGGAGCACCGCCTGGGATCGAATTAAGTGGCGCTCAAGGTAAAACCAGGGCAATGGCAAATATATCGTCTGCACTAGAGTCCTTTGTTTGCACAGTCCCGGTTGCATTATCCGCATCGCAATGACCTCGGCCGTCAGCTATATGCACTTTGTAATCCCATTTGAGGATCGTTTTCGTACCACGTATAAAAATTTAAAATCTTCCGAGGTCACAATTTGATGCTCGGTTAGGATTAAGTGTACAAAAATAGAGATGTGAATATGTCTAACGGTGTGCTTCAATAATGCCGCTGGGCAATGTTCTGCCGTCCGTTTAGCCAAGCGTCTGGTGGTGTGTTCGATGTATCTGATACCACAAGTGCAAGTAAACTGATATGCCCGTCATAAGCCATTGATCCATTACAGTAGGATGCAAAGCGGAAAATGCGCAAAGGATTTGGTTGTACAGGAGTCGATCCGCATTGTGGTGGAAGTTGGTTATGGTGCCAATTCGTATGTCGTTCCGCACGTCTGTAACAGGTTACCGTGGAGGGCCGTCACCGTGGCTTTAAGCCAGTATGGATGACCAGCTTGATAAATGCATGCGTAGACAGGAGTTTCGACAGCGGAACCATCTCGATTAACGAAACCGGTGGGTGGTACGGGTGCCTCCTGGGTTAGAACAAGCATTCCGTGTGTGGTGTGTAAAAGGTAGGAAGGCATCAGCAGTACGCCGGTACGCAGTACCGACGTTTTGCGGCCTCGCAACCACCACCGGTTGCACGTAGGCTAAAGATACTGCGAGAGGAACCCTGTCCCTACGCAGGTTCGAATCCGCGCTGTCAAATTACAAGACAAGCTCGTTACCCTTAGGCTACGGGCCTGGTGTGCGGCTTCCGACCAAACAAAGACGCGGCTGGTGATCGACCTCCTGGAGATGCTGGACTTGGCGTGGTACAATAAGTCAACCGAAGTCAAGTCAACTTTGGGTGTCAGTGCAGCATTGATTTAAGAGCAGCGCACTCGCTTATCATTGTTCGAAAATACTCAATCAACACCTTGTTATAACTACTCGATTAGTATCAATTCCTAGTCGGAGCGAAAGGTGCGTCTCCTGTGGACTGTACCTCGCAAGGGTAAGTAGCTAACCGAATTCCGCTTGATGCGCCACATGGTCTTTTTCGCTTAACATTCTACCTCGCTGTACCAAAACGGAGGTGTGTAAAGATAATACTTCTTTAGGAGCAATCGTGCCTTTCGCAAACATCCACCTGCAAAGTGGTGAAAGTACCTCGAACAGCTAACCATCGGGTAACACCACTGCATAAATCATACCCAAATGTTTCTAGAGAAACTCAAATAAATGCTAACAGACTAGGACGATATGTTGGCTTCTACTAACGTAACCGCTCTATTCACATATGTCAGGTTAAGGCTGGTGGGAGCAGTCGACGCACAACGCCTGTACAACAACGAAGAGGAAATTAGGAGTACGACGACCTAAACTACATGTAAGGTTCCCATCTGTCTCAAAAACTGCTCCGCCTTCAATGGACAGATCTATGGAAAAGTGAAGGGTGCACTAATGATCTACCAAGATAAAGACTGCTAGAAGAGCTCGCTATAGAAAAAATCAAAGGAAACGTATTGCGAACAATCAACCTGAAACTGCATGGCTGCTACCTCAACGGCAGCATCGGAATATTTGTGAGTATTAGGGGGGTTATATTGTTTTCGAGTATATGGGGAGAAATATCTGTTTAAATAGTTCGAACGCAACAGATCCCCGCGAAGTTCCATCGGAAGATGTTTAAACCACAGGACTACAGACAATGAATCGATGTCAGTGACAATGAAAGAGGTTGTTTTACCGTATATGAAGAGCATATATGAAATGACGACTAGATTGATCGAACAACAGTTGAAACCAAAGAAATAATAAGAAACACACGAATAATTAAACAATGGATACAATTGCAAAAATGTGAGGCAGACAAAAATTGAACTATTAACAAGGATACGACAACAGAAAAAGTGTGCGAAAAATAGGAAACAGCACATGTGGATTAAAGGGGGCAAAGCCACAATGGGAGAAAAAAGGAGACACTGACTAAAGAAAAAAAGATTGCATAGACGTATGGTTTTGCTCAAAAAGTGCAATCGAAATTCGCGTCGATATCGACCACATGTACAAACCAGACAGGGAGAAAGAGCAAGCAAAGTGAAGGCCGAAATTCGGAGCACAACAAGCGCGTGCCCCGACGACGATCACGACAGACAGTGTAAACACCGATGACTTAACACCTATGTGCCAAGTGAACTTCGGGAATCCTATCTAAGTCACTCTAATACCTATGTACTCATGACAATCATCTAGGTGCCAGTGGATAGAACAATGAACAACATAATTGAAGCAAGGTTATTAACATCAGAAGTCTACATAATAGGCAGGACAATGGATGATTGGCTTGCCAAACTACATCCATGTGGTACCAGCTGGGTAGTTCGGGAGTGTCCAGTTTCATTGAATGGTTCGGTGACAGTGTTCAAGGAAGTGCTGGGTTTTCGTCTGGCAAGCGTCTTCTCTATGCAAGGCCACATGTCCGTTCATCACTAAATAAAGTCGCTGTAGCTCGCCTTACCCTGGTGGAGCATTGTATTCTAGCACTCTGTTGTTGAAATTTTGAGAAGGATTGGGCCCCTGTTTGGTAGCTTACCAAGTGAAAGACGTATGAGCCGATAAACCACACATTGGTTTCCAATGGGTGCGACTGCCTAAATTCGTTCTGCTGGCTTGCGGGTAGGATATCCAGCCAAAGGCAACGGATGGTGTTCCCTCAATCAAATCCCTACTTGGATAACCAGGAGGTATTGCATCCTCCGACAAAATCATGGGTCGCACTGTGATGTGTTAGGTTTTCTTTCGTACGATAACTGTGCCTCCCATTTTTTCTGCGACTATTGATAGTTAAGTGTTAAACCCCAGGTGTGCTTGCAAAATGCCGCATGCTTCACATACCAGGTCTAGCACATACGTGCATTATGATCGTGAGCTTCAGGTGCGTGTGGAGCTACTATGGTTAACGGAAAACACTATCACAGACATCTTACTGCCACTGGTAGAAGTCACTCCAGCTAGACCGCAAAGGCCAATAGGACAGTAAAGTTAGTGCTGAGACCAGACAATAAACTTGGTTACCCACACTGGGTGCACCGATACGGAGATCATCCTTGGGGTTAGAAGAGGTAATCAGGTGCTTTGCATGAGTTGTTTTGTTGCAACGGAGATACCGAGTTTGTATCTTTTAACTTATGAGCACAGTTAGCGTCCGCTGTAGGTGGATGGCTGCAGAAATACTCAGAATCATGTAGAATCCCTTGCTGGGGGAGGAATGGCGTGATCCCTTAGCCCGTGCAAGAATGGGTAAATGCGTTGCTGACCACTGTGATTGTGGACGCAGATGTCACGCGTTCCATTGAAGAGACAACATTGTGCCTGGGATCCGGGGGTGCGATAAAACCTGAGAACTGCAGTCAAATCCGCACGGTTAAAGAGCAGATCGATTTTGCTAAGCCATTTAGGCTCTTTTCACGGCACTACAAATGATTCAATGGATATGCGAAACGGTGACCGTTAATTACAATGGTCCCACTCGTGAGCTTGCGCTGAATTCTCATTATACATAATAGAAAGGGAATAGTGACTGACTTGACTACGGCATGCTCATACGAGCTGACTAGCAGATGAGTTGATACGCGGAGAGGTGGCGCTTGCAGTAGATAGGGAAAGTGTGTTTAATCCGAGTTACGACACAGTAATGTAGGATAAACAGTTTGGATGAGGAATTATAAATTGGCAAGGAACAAAGTCAATGCTGTGTTATCAACAACTGCCAGTGATACAAGAAGACGCAAAAAAAAACGAAAGATAACTGGCGTCCAAGCAGGTGTACTGGAATATAAACACTCAAAAGTCATGACGACAGTTTTAGTTCACTCAACGAGCCCAATGAGTGAAATGAAGAGCGAGAGAGAGGGAAGGCGGCCGTTAGGTGGCCTGTAAGCTATAAAAGTTAGAAAAGGAGGCGGCTTATTGCACTTTCTTGGTGTCTTTGGAGGTAGAGTGATAGCGTGTCCACGATGACGGCAACAAATTCCGAAAAACTCTTGCGTATATCTTGTCACTTGAAGCAGTTGGGTGGACAATGGAAGAATGTCTGACCAAAGATGAAAAGATGGAAGGGTACGGCAATTAGCATGAGGAAAGGAATTAAACGAGATAAAGAGTGGTCGTTCGGAGACCTTTTGGGTCAAAGGACAAGGATAAATATCTGGGCAGAATGGAAGAGTACAAGATTACCTACATGTCACAATGACAAGAAAAAAGAAAATCAATGCAAAAAATACCATACCGGGTGCGTGATTCAAATCCGAGAGGCCAGTTAACTGAGAGCGTCTAGTGCCAAAAGTGAGCAAAGGATATGAAGAAGAGAGTGAATCTCTCCCCAAAACCAACAGTAATCAACCATGATAGTTGTTAAAAGTCGAGAAAAGGGCCGAAAATCAGTCAAAACTGTGACGAAATGTGTATTAATGTATACTTCCAGCGATTAACAGCATTTAAGTCGTGCAATGACAGGGTGAATCAGTTTGATGATCAGATATTCGGCCGACTCATCTTATTTCAGATGTTGCCCAACGTGGCCACGTCGGTTGTTTGCCAGAACGGCTTGGCTCAGGCACTCGCGACTGCATGTACTACAGCACCATGCGTTTGAAGGCGAGACTCCATCAACGCCCGTCGGTCCCGTAAATGGCATTTCTTTTTCAATAACATAAGGTCTTCTGCACATGGGCAACCGCCCTATTGATCCACTCACGCCATTCCCGCCGACCACCTGCCGTTGATTTCCAACACCTGAAAACAACATTAGTTCCTGATAAAATCATCTTGATCGCGTCCTGTTAACGTAACTTCGATTTTCCAACGTGCTACTTTTCTGCACACAGTTGACCCTAAAACAGCTGTTTCGGTATCCGAGTCGGATCCATGCGGCTGATATACCCGATCCACCTTAGATGGTACAAAACAAGTACGCATACATGTCACTGCAGCGCAGCACTTCCGTGTCAGCAATTCATTCACCTCCGCTGATGCACACAACCCGACGCAAGCACTGTTGATAGAAGCGCTCCAGATAACGGACGTCCTTCCGATAAACCGTCCACGTTTCGCTGCCGTATGGAAAAACGGAGAGCACCACCGATCGGTGTAGATTCAGCTTCGTGACAACAGTAAGCTGGTAATATCTTCACACAAGATAGTTTAGCCTGCCAAATGCAGTAGACACCTTCAGTACGCAGAAGCGCAGCCCACTCACCATTTACAAGTCTGTTCAAAGTACACTACGCAAGACTCAAAAACGGGAAGTGGTTTCCGAATCGACGGGCCATGCCCACAGAATCTATTCCTAGCGAGGGCTGGAAAAGACAGTCTTGCTTGTGTTGGTGGTGAGTACGAATTTGGACGCAGGCGGGGCGAGAGCCGAGGCCATGTGCAGAAACTCCCTCGCGCGGTGTGCAAACAACGCACAGTCGTCCACAAAGTGCAACATACGGATGGTTGTCCCAAACCTCACAGTTCACAACCCGAAACGACAGATGTTCAGAAACGCACCATCAAGACGGATTTCCACACGGACAGCGCAATCACAAGAGTATAAAGCACATGCCATCATAGCATTCAGGTAAATATTAAAGAGGGCAGGGGCAAACACACAGCCATGCTTCACACCACAGACAAACTCAAATTCGTAGAAAGTAGAAGTCATGAGTAGACTGCACACAGTAATCTGCGTCGAGGGGGAATCGAACCCCAGTCCCACGAATTACCGGTCCACTGCTCCACCACTGAGCTACCGAGGGCTGACGATCAGGTGCGCAATTTAATATATGACTTCTGCTTGGTGCGCGACGTATTGCCAATGAGCTCACAGTATCTGTCCTGGTGTTGCAGATTGGCTCACTCACTCGTCACTTCCTAATGGATCAAGTATCTGTCCTTCTGATGTCCAAAGGGAGATGGTAGATTAATGTGGATTTCTGTGAGTATTGTAATGTTCGTAGAAAGTAGAAGTCACGATTAAACTGTACACAATAATCTGCCTCGACGGGGAATAGAACCCCGGTCCCACGAATTACCGGTCCGCTGCTCTACCACTGAGCTACCGAGGGCTGACGATCAGGTGCGCAATTTAATACATGACTTCTGCTTGGTGCGCACAAAAATCCACATGTAATCTACCATCTCCCTTTGGACATCAGAAGGACAGATACTCCGGTCTATTGAGAAGTGACGAGTGAGTAAGCCAATCTGCAACACCAGGACAGATACTGTGAGCTCATAGGCAACACGTCGCGCACCAAGCAGAAGTCATGTATTAAATTGCGCACCTGATCGTCAGCCCTCGGTAGCTCAGTGGTAGAGCAGCGGACCGGTAATTCGTGGGACTGGGGTTCGATTCCCCGTCGAGGCAGATCATTGTGTGCAGTTTAATCGTGACTTCTACTTTCTACGGACATCACACTACTCACAAAAATCCACAAGTAAATTCAAACTCATCTGAGGTTAGTCCGCAGAGTTGCGCTCTCGCCCCCATACCACTGTGCAGATATTTAACTAAACTTACAAACTAAGTGGGGCAACCAAACTTAGGCAACGACAACAGCCGCAGTGCCTCGCGAGTCACCGTGTCAAATGCCTTGGTAAGTACAACGGACGGTGACACTTTCCCGCTTTTTCCTGCAGCTGACGAACCGCAAACACCATATCTATTTACAGAGTGCTTTCGCGCCCATATAGTACTGTTCCAGCTTCACTTTTATCCCCTCTGTTTTCAACCCACCAATTCTCGGCCCTCCCCCACCATGCTTTAATAGTCGCTTGTCTTTTAGTTTCAACTCACATGTGAACGCTTAGAGTCATTCCTATCCTGTCAACAGGCCCATGTCCAAGCAAGCAGTCAAGCCAGGTTCATCGGCTCCCATTTGGAATCCTCGATCCTCCTTCAGATTGGCATGCCTCAATGTACACACATTGTTTCAGATCGGTCAACAGGCAGCACTTGCCCGAACATGAGAGATCCTCTCGATCGATATCTACAGCATATCGGAAACCCGCCTGCAAGACTCGAGCTCTGTGCTCACTTTGAGATTCGCTTCAGGTGACACCAACACCACTTTCTCCTTGCGCCTATCCGGTGAAGATGCAGCCTCGAGCACCCACCAAGCCGGTGTTGACATTACCCTGAGTCCCCGGGCTGAAGTTGCTATGGTTGACTGAATTCCAATCAGTAGCCGGATATGTAAAGTTCAATTGGCTGGCTCGTTCAAGGCTTCGAAGTCGCATGGGTCTAATAGGTGTCTATTCATCATTGCTGCCTAGGCACCGACAAACTCTAGCGATGACTCGGTAAAAGACGACTTCTATCATCAACTGAACGAGCTCCTTAGCCACAGAAGAAGCTCGGACACTGTAGTGCTGGCTGGGGATCTGAACGCTCAAGTTGGAAAATTATCCACTGATGAACTGCATCTGGGCGGCCAACATGGTGTAGACTCCCGTAATGATAACGGTGAGCGGTTACTTCATTTGTGTGAGGATGCCCGCTTATTTCTTGCGAGCACTAATTTCCGACACAGCACCTGCCGGAGGGTGACTTGGCGCCCACCAGCCTCGAACCAGCTATGGACGCAAATCGATCACATTGCGATAAGTTACCGCTGGAGAGGCTGCATCCAGAACTGTCGCTCGATTTGGAGCACATGTGTGGACACCGATCATGCACTTGTATGTGCTGACATGCGGATGCGTTTTGGCGGACGCCCACGACGACGCTGTGAGCGCATTGACACCAGCCAACTGACAAAGCCAGCTGTTCTGAATGCGTATCGAAGTACGCTGTCTTGCGAGTAGGATAAACGCTCACTGGATGCAGTTGAAGCGCACTGGTCTCATATTCACCAGACATTACTAGCAGCAGGAGAATCCTAATGTGGTATGTTTAATCGCCAACATGGACATTGGGTCTCTTCGCAGTCTCTGGAACTTATCGATGCTCGCCGGCCTATTCCGGCTGGAAGCGAACACAATGAAACTCGAAAGAGCTCCGGGCAAAACTGCATGCTAACCTGAAGAGAAACCGCGAATTCTGGTGGTCTCATCGTAATTAAGAGATGGAAATGGCCGCTGCTCTTGGTAACCATCGTAAGTTATTCCCTATGTTACGGAAATGAGGAGCCTGAGACCTGGTGTTAGTGAAACAACTTGTGACGAGAGTGGACAGCCTATCCACAACTTGTGAAAACGCTTGGAGCGTTAGGCTGAGCATTTTGAAAGGCAAATTAATCGACCGGAATTGTCCGATTTCGCGCCGGCCACTGATCGCCCTGCTAAGTGGACCGTCCCTTTAGATCCTTCCACTCGCTCAAAAGTCAAACGTGAGATCGGATTGTTGAAATTGAACAAAGTCGCGGGACCAGATGATCTGCATCCAGCCCTCTTCAAATTCGGGGGATCTACCCTTGTGGATGGTTTACACAAGTTACTAGTGAAACCGTGGGAGCAGGAAACTGTCCCAACCAACTGGAGCCGCTCCGTCATAGTCCCAATTTCCAAGAGAGCTTCAAGATCGGAATGCGGCAACCATAGAGGAATCAGTCTGATCCCCATCGCCTCCAAATTACTTGCCTCTGTCATGGTGAGGATCAGCTAGAAGTCGTTCAGAAATTCAACTACCTGGGAAGTTGTATCAGCGCCCGTAGGATTGAAGATGAGATCACGAACCGTATACCAAAAGCTCGAAGTGCATTTGCTAACTTTCGCCACTGATGGCGCCGGCGCGACATCACTCTCGCCCTGAAGAGTAGAGTGCACAATGCAGCGGTACGTTCGACCCTACTGTACGGTTGTGAAATCTGCCCCTTAAGGCAGCGGACCTAAAGAGGCAAATTACATTCGACCATCGGTGCCTTCGCAATTTGGCTCACATCTGATGGGAACACCGAGTTAGCAACGAGCGTGTTCGACGCCTTGTTTACGACACAGGAAAGGCAACTGAACCACTCAGCACCGTCATTTCACGCTCCAGGCTCCGATGGCTCGGCCATGTGTCATGCATGCCAGCTCGCCGACTCACGCAACGTGCGTCGTTTGCGC